AAAGGGGCGGAGCGACGCTGTCGCAGGAGGGATGAGAATGTGTTAGTTTCGTGGTGGTAATTCTTGATCTGTAGGGGGCGCTGTGGCGCAATACGGCGCAGGCGGCGGGAGGCCACCGCGGAGGCTGCCTCCCTCCGCAGCGGCAGGAGCCTGGCAATGCCTTAAGGAACGGGCTTCGAGGAGGAAGAGGAGGCAGCGGAGGACCATGAGCGCCGCCGGTGAGTTGCCCCTGGAGGAAAAAGTCTGATAAAAGAGAAAGTGTAAAATACAAGCTATAAAATATAAATGTTTTACATAAATAGATAATTGTGTATATGGTATAAAATATAAGGGATAAGATATAAGGTATAAAATAGAAGATATAAAGTACATAAGGTATAAAATAGAAGATATAAAGTATAAGATAGAAAAGGTATAAGGAGATTAAAAACTTTTCTTAATAAACATAATTTTTTTTTTAAGAACGGGCTGGGGATGTGTTTTGTTTTTTTTAAAGTGTCCTGTTTAAAAAACACTTTTAAACCTTTTTTTAAAAAAAAAATCTGTATTTTATTCTTTTAATTTAAGTAACTTTAAAAAATATTGTAATAATTTCTATTTATGAACTGTATAGGTACTTTTATGAGTGTGGTTTAATGACTTTTATAGTGTTGTATTTTTAACTGTGAGTCTGTGGGTTTTTAGTTGTGTGTTATAGTGTTGTATTTTTAATTAATTGTGGGTTTTTAGTTGTGCTTCATAGTATTGTATTTGAACTGTGAGCTTCTGGGGTTTTAGTTGTGTTTCATAGTGCTATATTTTAATTGTGAGTTTTTGGTTGTGTTTTATAGTGTTTGAAGTGTGAGTCTGTGGAGTTTTAGTTGTGTTTTATAGTGTTGTATTTTAGTTGTGAGTCTGGGTTTTTAGTTGTTTCATGGTGTTGGGTGTTAGTTGTGAGCATGAGTTTTTAATTGTGATTTGTAGTGTTGTACTTGAACTGAGTGTGGGATTTTAGCTGAGTTTTAATGTTGTATTTTAATTGTGAGTCTGGGTTTTTAGTTATGTTTTGTAGTGTTGTGTTTTAACTGAGAGTCTGAGTTTTTAACTGTGTTATTTTATAGTGTTATATTTTAACTGGGAGCCTATGGAATTTTAGTTGAGCTTTATAGTGTTGTATTTTAACTGGGAATCTATGGGTTTTTAGTTGTGTTTTGTATTTTAATAGGTTGTACTCTGCATTGAGGAGAGGCAGGAAAGAAATAAAATTTTAATAATAGCAATAATAATAATAATAATAATAATCAGAAAACATATTCAGCAGTAAGCCGTGTTGGCCACATAGCAAAGTACAGTAACATCCAAAATCCACCAAACAGTCACTGCTCTGTGGCTTTTGGGTGTTACTGTACTTTATAATTATTATTAGTGGTAGTAGTATTTTAATGCATCACTTTTGTATGTTTTTAATGTACCGTGCTTTAAACTGTTAAGTCACTGTGAGTCTCAGTTTTTTGGGGGGAAAGTGGGATACAATTAAATATAATAATAATAATAATAATAATGGAAAAGAGGAGGTGAAAGTCCAGAGAGAGGATCTGGATGGATAGACAATGGGAGGAAAGGGCTTCCCTGTCTCTCCTGCCTCCTTTTTCTTCCCTTCTCTCTCCTTTTCTTTAAATTCTTGCAGAGAAATGGAAGATGGGGGGTCTTTGCCCAAACTTCCGCCAGACTGGAAGTCCAGCGCTCTTTCTTTCCTTTTCCTGAGGTCCCAGCACTGGGTTTGCCTTTCCTGTCAAATCCCTTTCTTTCTTTCTTTCTTTCTTTCTTTCTTTCTTTCTTTCTTTCTTTCTTTCTTTCTTTGTACCAAGTGGACCTTGGATGGCCAAAAAGACCAGCCATGAACAGATGAAACCTGCATTCAGATGGTCAAATTGAGGTTGTCTCACTTCGGCCACATCATGAGAAGGCAAGATGACCAGACGTCCTCCTTATCCAAGACATGGCCTACAGTTCGATCCTCTGTCCAGGAGGAATTCCAAAATGTCCTCCATTTTGAGCAGGACTGAGAACAGGGTGACCAGACGTCCTCCTCCTTCCATGGAGCGACCTACATTTCAATCCTCTGTCCAGGAGGAGTTCCAAAATGTCCTCCATTTTGAGCCTGACAAAGAACAGGGTGACCAGACATCCTCCTTTTCCAAGACATGGTCTACATTTCAATCTTCTGCCCAAGAGGAATTCCAAAATGTTCTCCATTTTGAGCCTGACAAAGAACAGGGTGACCAAATTTCCTCCTTTTCCATGACGCAGCCTACATTTCAATCTTTTGTCCAGGAGGAGTGCCAACATGTCCTCCATTTTGAGCAGGACAAAGAGCAGGGTGACCAGATGTACTCCTTTTCTAGGATGCATCCTCCATTTCGGCCTTCTGTCTAGGAGGAATCCCAAAATGTCCTCCATTTTGAACATGACTAGGAAGCATGAATTTATATGGTGTTTTTAGCTTTCTTTACTGTCCTCCATTTTTCTTGAATGCCCTGCCCTTTTACCGTGTTTTGTCCTCCTTTGCAGTTAGGACATCTGGTCACACTGTGAGAAAGTGTGACTCATTCCAGAAAACAATAATGCTAGGAAAGGCAGAGGGAAGTAGAAAGAGAGGAATACTGCATGCTAGATTTGTTGTTGTGTGCCTTCAGGTTGTTTCTGGCTTATGGTGACCCTATCATGGGGTTTTCTTGGCAGGTTTCTTTAGAGGGGGTTTGCCGTTGCCAACCTCTGAGGCTGAGAGTATGTGACTTGCCCAAGGTCAGCCAGTGGGTTTCCATGGCTGTTCTGAGATTTGAACCCTGGTCTCCAGAGTGATAGTCTGACACTCAAACCACTACACCATGCTGGCTCTTCCAAGCGAAGTCAGGGAGATGTGACTTCAGCTTTTATCATTGTTATCTTCCCATTGTGGTGTGTTTTTGTTACTGTTTTTAATGGATAATGTGTGTTTTAATTTTTTCTAGTTTAATCCTGTTTTAAGGGGCTTGGGAGGGTAGGGTTAGGGGATGTGGGAATGTTTTAACTCGTTTGTTTGTTTTAATGCTGTAACCCGCCTCGATTGTTGAGCAGAGGGGCAGGCTATAAATAAAAATTATTATTATTATTATTATTATTATTATTATTACTGTGGACAACCAGAAAGATAAAACCAATGGGTCCTTGAACAGATCAAGCCTAACTCATATGGTCAAACTGAGGCTGTCGTACTTTGGCCAGATCACGC